ACTTAAAGTGATAGTCCAAGCCTGTATGTCTTTCTTTGGAACACAAAAGGGGATATTTTGAAAAATGTCTCAGTGGTTTGTTTTTGTCCATACAATGAAAGACAGAGGGATTTGAGGTTGCTTTGGAGCCTACTTTCATTTCAAAGTCAAAAACAGCTGAAACATTCTTTTAAATACCTATTTTGGAATGACACCACTAATGTTCCTCTTTGGCACTAGAACTAGATGTTAATAGCCATGGTAAAAGTGAAAAATGCTTGACCAGTGGAAAACGCCTACTGATTCCTCACATTCCAAAAATGGTTAATGCAAAGCATTGTGAGTCATTCAGAAATGAAAGATTTTGAAATAGCAGATGTGTTTTTATGAAATTAATGGATAAAACTAAACTATCCCTAAAATAATGTGGTTCCTGTCACCTTTGCATCCATCTTCTGACCCATGTAAGTTGTAGGCCAGTTGTGCTGGATCACTTTAGCACAGGCTGAGAAAGACACAAGCTTCAGAAAGCTGTACAAGCGGTGAGGAAGTACCGACAAGAACCGCAAGTCCCCTCTGACATACTTCCCCACTCCCCCTACCTCTGGGTGCTGTTGCGAAAATCCTCTGTAAACCTCTCGCCACACAAAGTCAAATGCTCACTTCCTACAGAATCACCACCCCAGCCTCAAACTTTTCTCAGCTACCTAGCTGCCTTGCCCCTGACATCATGAAAGCCCTCAGTAGCAAGGAAACGTGTGAACATTTCACTGGTTTGACAGCATCAGGCCTTGATGGATAACAAGTGCACTCAGCTAACAAAAAGACAGAATTAAAAGTCACAGATGCTTGTGGTGAATTAAACCTTGACTAATCAGTTTCCATTTAAGGAGTTGTTTGAGTCCTGTGTCTTTTGTGTGATGCTGTTCTTTGAGCTTCTTTTTTTAGATAGTTTCACACGTTCTATACGAGCCCCTTTAAGCATTTTGACTTTACAGAGGAGGAAACTTTCCAAAATTAGCAACTACAGTTGTGTATTGAGTATAATGAGGAAAATATAACCCTATATACACTTATTTACAGGCATAAACAGGAATAAAATGACTTGAGTTTAATCAACAAAGGGCCTTTTAGGAGCAACAGATATGTACATATACAGTCAGATTAGATGTGACTCAGAATAAGTCATAAAATTTTGAAGAACTCATTAAACATCTAGTTGCAATAATACTGAGCACTTTACCATTATGCCGGTGCTGTTGGTTTCTCCTCGTTTGCAGTTCTTCTTTTGTTGAGAGTGACAGTCCAAATGTTTCTCAGCACCCTGCCATGACCATCAGACTATAGCACAAGAGCAAAAGTTTAGTGAAGGGAAGCAGTCTGTGACAAGCACTGAGCACAGATCACTTCCTCAAACTCCCACAACCCTTAGGTGAGACAAGAAGAAGTTGCATGCTCTCTCGCCACAGGCTGTACACACGCACATACGCCCACAAACGCAGAGGACACATAATTGGTCTAACTCACATTCCTCATGATCACACAAAACCAATAATGTGTCACAGGTTCCAGGTCAGCCGTTACTCTGAGGCGTGTGACACAGGATGCAGCCCCTCCTGTTGATTGGATGACAACAAACTGCACGAGATGCAGAAATGATACGGTCATCCTGCAAAACACCAAAACTGAACACACCCTCACTCACGTTTGAACTTCTTCATGGAGATCTGAATACAAAAACAGACCTGGTTTGAGTGTTTCGGGAGCCTCCCAAGGCTTAAGTCACGGCCTAAAAATGACAAACAAAGCTAACCATTAGGGCCTCTGGGAGTATAAAATGTCAGCTGATCAGTAGGGCCCTAGGCCCCTCAGCACATATACATAGGGCCCCTGAATACAATTTTAGTTGTTGTTAGACTACCAATACGTGCAATTTCTAATTTTGCTTTCCCCTTTGTCGTCTTCTACAGATGTGTCCACATAGGCATCGTTCTGCAGCCCTGCAGCAGAAAGTATACGTTAATTAGTAAATGACTGTAGTTAAAAAAGTCAACTAAATAAATGAATGTAAATGTAATATGCACATACAAAGAGCTGCTATTAGCACTAAATCTGTTCCTCTTGAACATCAGTATGCAGGAAGTTTATTTTTATATTCAATTTAGCAAAAAAGTACAGTGCAGATGGACGTACAGTGTAAACACACACATATGACGAGCCAACAAGTCTGAGGTTTATATGTGACAGATGACTGTGTAAAAACTTGTCTTTGTAAAAAAAATAAAAATTAAGAAATGGATATAAAGGATATAAAACAGATATAACAATACATTGGATATTATTTGTACACAATGCATCTTTTTATTCAGCATTTCAAATTCATTTCAACTGGTCTACGTAAAATTCATAGGACATAAACTACATCACAAGCACATGACAGTACAGCATGTGAAAAATCAACATTAAAGTCCAAATAAACAAGTGTGACTGCATTTCCAAAGTGAATCTACAGTTACTGCAAATGTAGGATCACACTGCAAAATTTAAAGATAAAAGCTTACCATCAAAAGCAAAACAGCATTTTCATCTTTCACATAATAATTGTACCAAAGAAATGATTATAAAGTTAGTGTCTCTGCAGAGAGACTTGAACAATAATTTTAGTTTTCATAGAATCTTGCTTATATATTTTTTTTTCCTTAGCAAATGTATTACCTTTAGCAAAAAATCCCTACAATACAAAAATAACATGAATCTTGAGATTATGACAAATAAAGACATAGCACCATACTGTAGCACCACAGATTAGCTACCAGTCTTGAACAGAGGCCACCTCTTCAAGATCTGCTCTTCAAATCAAACATTCGACGTGTGCTGCCAAGACCCAGGAGAGGGAAAAGGTCTGTTATGGCTCTCTAACGATGACTGACACTAATAATTTGGCAAATTTGAGCTAAATTCTGATATTTGGGTTAGAAATGGGTAAAAGGAAATTGTAGGTTCTGAAAGGGAATCCAATCAATATGTTAAGAAAACACTGAAAGTTAAATATTTGGAAGAGTTCACCTAAAAATGACTCCTCACCATTATGCTGTTCCAAACTGTTATGGAAGCAACATGTTTTTTTTTGTGAGGAACAGACCCAAATAAAATTAGCCAAAAATGCTTCTACCCTAATTCTTCCTCTTTACTCTCAAAATGCATATTCAAATGCCATTGGTTCTGCATTGTTACTACAAACAATGACTTACATTCTGGTATTTTACCCATATAAACCCATTACCCAGCTTGGACACTCTACTGAATATCATTTTGTGTTCCACAGAAGAAGAAAAAAAAGCTTTTGAACAACATAAGGTCATGTGGATTATGGGCAGAATTTTCTTTTTTTCCCCCAAACTATTACTTAAAGATCTCAAAGGTGTGAGTATGAATATTTGTTCCTGACCTGATAAAATGAAGCATAAGCAATCCAGTAACTAGATGGTTACATGGGTCACAATTCTGCACTGCCACCAACGTTGCTGCATGCTGACTTGTGGTGCATTAGAAGTACAGTACATTATCTTAGATAAAGTGTCTGAGAATAACAATATGACCACCACATGGTTTTAACAACAGCTTCCATTGGCCTCTTTAACTACTATTAGGTTGTGCACAGAAGCTAAACTGACCCTACCTCTCATTTCCCTCTGTTTGCTAAACAGTTCATTGTTCATCCAGGTTTGACTGATGCACAGTATCTTATAATTAATTAGCGTAAGCATTATGGGACCAGATGGCAAGAAAATGGCACAGCACCTGCAAATAGCCACAAGGCCGTCAAGATTAAAAGATACAGTATCTCAGCACCAACCACATCGAATGAGAGCTTATGATATCTGAGTGATCTGGAGTGTCTCTAAAGGGCAGTTCACACGGACAATGATTTAATTGTTCTATGTCAACAAGTCACTGCTAGTCAGTGTTCCTCTCAACTGCAGCATTCATCTGTATTATGAAGCATTACGGTACGGTCACATTAGTGAATTTTCAGCAAATTTTTCTTTGCAAAAGGTCCATTGTATAGCACAGTGTTGCAATGTACAATGCACCGCTCACATAGAAGTCACTTTCAAAACAAACAGCTTCCTGGTGCTCAACGCAGCGATTTTGCAACTTGCGAAATTTGTTGCAAAATCTGTGTAGGGAAAATTCCCCCCGCTAAGCGAAATTCCTATTGAAATTACTAGATTTCACTGTGAAAATTCTTTGGACCAGTGGTAGGGGAAGCCGTGGCCTAATGGTTAGAGAGTCGGACTCGTAACCCAAAGGTTGCGGGTTCGAGTCTCGTACCGGCAGGGATTGTAGGTGGGGGGAGTGAATGTACAGCGCTCTCTCCCACCTTCAATACCACGACTGAGGTGCCCTTGAGCAAAGCACCGAACCCCCAACTGCTCCCCGGGCGCTGCAGCATAAATGGCTGCCCACTGCTCCGGGTGTGTGTTCACGGTGTGTGTGTGTTCACTGCTGTGTGTGTGCACTTAGGATGGGATAAATGCAGAGCACTAATACTTGGCCATACTTGGCCACATGTCACGTCACTTAAATGTGACCGCACCTTTGCTCATGTTGTTTAACATCACCAACTCTTTTAAAAATAGTTAACTGTTGGTTGCTTTGCAAATTGCTGTAAGTGAAAAGGCCCTTAAGGGGATAGTTCACCCAAAAATGAAAATACATTATTTACTCACCCTCATGTTGTTCTAAACAATTATGACTTTCTTTCTTCTGTGGAACACAAAAATAGATATTTTATTGTATGGACAAAGATTTCTTCTTTGATGTGTTGGAGAATAAAGAAAGTCATACAGCTTTGTAACACCATGAGGGTGAGTAAATAATAACAGAATTTTCATTTTTTGGTGAATTATCCCTTTAAAGATGCACTCAGTAATGTTTATCCAAAGTAAAATTTTATACACAAGCAAAGTAAAAAGTATTTTTGAAAAATATTTTAACATCCCAGCCATGGAGTGGGTCTCTCATGGGAGCAGCCATATTGAGATCACATGACCAGCTCCACACTACTCATTTCAACTCAGTAACCTGGTTGTTTTTGGACAATTTTGTTTGTGGATTAACTTAATAATGGCTGACTACCAGTAGTGCTTTTCTACATTGGTAACTGAAAACAACTGTGCATGATGATTCATCCACAACACTAGGTGTCAGTATAAGTCCAAAACGGCCAGCGCTACACAAAAAATTACTGAGTGAACCTTTGAGACTATAATAAAGATGACCGGTCTATAAATGGTCACATTACAATAACAGACAACTATTATTCACTGAGATTGTGACAGTTCATAAACACTTCTCTGTATGACAGTGATGGCCGAAAGCACCACATGGAAGAGCAAAAGAAACACTGACGGATGTCTTTTGGGCAGACTGGTATTCACAGCAGCAGTGCCAAAGCAGCTGGTTGGAGGGAGAGAAAGAGAGCAGCACAGACTTTCTCTCTTTCTCTCTCTTTTCAAGTCTCTCTCTCGCTCTCATTTCTTCCGTGCTTTCTCTCACAATGATGTCAGTCTGCCAGTGGTTAACAGCACTCCTCCAGCGGAATGCTGAGCATGGGCGTTTTTGGCCATGCAAGAAGACGGGAGGGTGGAGAGGGAAGAAAATGAGGGCAAGAGCGAGAGACATAGAGAGTGAGAGAGAGAGAGAGAGAGAGAGAGAGAGAGAGAGCGAGAGAGAGAGAGAGAGAGAGAGAGAGAGAGAGAGCGAGTGAGAGGGAGGTCAGTGTCCTTGGCAGGTTTTGCAGCACATCTGTCTGAAGTATGCACGGCTGCAAAATTTGAACCTGAGCACTAGGGGGCAGTATGCCACTGTGTTCACATCTTTACACTCTGCGTGGACACAGAAAAAGTGCAGTCAGTCACAGAGAAATTAAATTTGCATCCTAAAAACACACAATGTTTTCAGATTTTCCAGTGACTTCAAGCATGTAACAAATTTCAACATTTGCTTTGCAATTGAAAAATCCTAACAGTTTTTTGTCAAGGGAACCACTGTGATGCTAACTTTCAGGTTGGCCTACAAAAAGTACTCACATGCATAAAGTATAGAGTTCTGCAGTGATGACGCAATCACTGCAGCACTCTATACTTTATGTAAGTGAGTACTGCAACATAATACTGTCATAAAATTAAGTTAGTATAGCTGCTAAAGCTAAAAGAGCAACGCATTATGGGCAATATTTGCCAAAAATACTTCAGTATGCTATTCAACATACTATGATTTGGAATGTACTAATTATAATATTATATATGACCAATGGTCAGCTAATTGGGATGCAAAGTGTGTCTGCTTGCCCTTTGACCTCTAACCTTCAGGGTTATCTGTAGGGCCATTTTTATCACACTTGCTCTTGCACTGCTGCATGGAGGCGGGACGATGTGTCTCTGTGCACTCATTAGATGGCTGGCCAATGTGTGTCAGACACTGCACTAAACGAATCTCTTGACCCATACCGCACCAAGCCGAACACTGGAACACACACAAAAACACACGTCAAACAAGACAGGAACATGTATAAAACAAGAAAAAGTTTTCATGGAACCTCACATATCTGGTTTCAACAATTCATTTTTGGACATTTTGATTCCTGTCCTTTTTTATATGTCCGACATCATTTTTTGGAAAGAATGAGAACATTGGGTATATTAATTTAAAAATAGCTTTTTTTGCTGGGTCAGGAGAACATTCTTGCCATTCACAGCGATTCAAGGCATAATCTAATTTTGCTTACACATTAAACACTTATGTCAGATGTTTTAAGTGCTTGTGATGAAATCACAAAGTGACAATCTCACAGCTTTAAATGAGATCTCACCTCTCCCCAGGGTCCTGTAACCCACTGAGGTGGTGGACAACGTTGTATGTTGCAGCGCACCCTGGTGGTCGGGTGGCTTTGTTTCGGGCACTCTGACTCTGGCAACGTTTCACCGTTCTCTCCACTTCTGCACAAAATCACTCTGTACCTGTAACCCGGACCACAGCTAGGAGTACACTGCAAAAGATACATGATAACAAAGAGACAATACCAAATTACACCAAAGATCGAAGTAAGATTTTACTAGACTACTAGTCTAATTGAACCCGAAAAATAAGACACCCTAGCTGACTGCTAGTTGGTCAGACCAGTTCTTAAGACACAGTCTTAACATATAGGCAGCTGGACCCAGATGTTTCTCACCTCAGACCAGTCCAGGGCATGCCATTCTGGTGGGCAGGTGTGGTTGTTGCAGGGCTCGGTGACGGAAGGCTGTGGTGGGGTGCAGGCCGTGTTATCAAGGACTTTCTCCTCTGTTACCGAGATCTTTCTTTTACACAGCACTTCCCGCGTCCGCACTCCTCCGTTACAGCTCCGACTGCAATCTGACCAGTCTCCTGTCCACCACCTGACAGATACACAGATACCAGAATATATCAGGCATTGATGGCATGTCGCATCACGTTGATCAGGAACACCAAAGACGTTATGTGAAGTCTTGTGCATGTACAGTACAAAAGTCTAAGACTTTTGAAATTTGGGGGGAAAAAAATAAACCTGGAAAGAAACAAATTTGAAAAAAGTTTACTATTTAAACAATTTAAAACAATGATACAAGAATACAAAAAAATATCAATAATGAAAAATAATTTGCTATTAAAATGAAAAAGATATAAGAAAACAAAAAAATATATAAATATGCTTATGAATATTAATTAGCATATGTGAATGTGGTACAGTGATTTAGATAGTATAGTCAATTGCACTGACTGGCTAATCAGTGGTCCTTCGATGATGTCTGGTAAGCATCAGGACACATTAGCATACAAATCTGATGTGGCCCCTGACCATTTCTGAATGTGGTTTGCATGATCAAATCACCATGTGTTTCCATATGCATCCCATTTGCACCTATATTTAGCATGGAGCATATATGATCGGGATGGATGTTAATGCCACACACACAAACACATACAGAACACCCACATTGGAGAACAGGGCTCCAAGTTGCAGGGTCTTTTCTTGTCTTTGGGCTTGTTTTTCTTGTCGCAGAAGTGGTTGTACACCACAGAGAGATCGGCTTGTTTCTTGCACACTACCTGCTGGACTTGAACCCCTGTGACAAAAAGAACAGTCTTCGTTATATAAATCACAGTAGATTACCATAAACCCTAATCATACAAACATGAAGCTTTGATGTCAGTGCTGTTTCATTCTTGTCTTTGTGTAAATACACAATCCCTGTGAAGTTATTATGGTATGATGGTTGTGCCAGTTTTGTTGAACACTGTGGCTCTGTTCCAAAATCTAGTGAGCAGCCTTGCTGCTTACCACCTAAACAGACAGCTGCCTTCTAAAGCAGCATTCTAACTGAAATGGAACCTTATAAGGTCACTGAATTGGTGACCAATATCAAAATTATGGCCCAATACAAATAATTTTATTTCACATTTTTAATTATGTCACATTTTATAAGCAAAAACAAATAAAAGGCTGATATTAAAATCACTTAAAAATAAAAATAGTTTTAAATGCTACAAGTGAAATTAGGCATCACAAAAATATTAAGTGTACAGCATAATAAATAATTTGAGATCTGCTAAAAAATTACATTTAACAGTGTTATGAAATTAGTGTTTTTGAAAATGAACTTTTGAGTGTTACATGATGGCAAAGGTAATCTAAATGTAAAAATAGGTGAAATGAGAATGCATAATTAGATTTCCATTGTTGGCTGATTTATATCCAATATGGACCAATATGTACCAAAATATTGTATAATATATGGTACCAATATACTGTACATCACTTTTTTAAACAACACTTCTCAGCATCATAATCAACATTTATTTTACCTGTTATTTTGGATTTATTTTAATGCATTATGGCATTGTCTTCTCCATTATGGTTGTTAACTAAAAACCTTCATGATGCCTTAGAATGCTCCCTATGAGGCAGCTCACAAGATTCTGGAGCAGAGTCTATGTTTTCGACAGCAAATTAGTTCTGAGTCATAGCTAATAGTTTCTTATCAGCAAGACAAATACGGGTCATTAACTCACAAAGCATGAATGCAAGAATAATAGGGAAAGAGCTTGAGGATAGGAAGTGACATCAAAGCTGGTGTTCTTGGTGTATACAGTCGATGTAATTGTTATTTTTTTTACAGGCTTTCAAATGGTTCACACACATCCTAATGGCAGACATGGGAAATTTACATTGTTCGTGTGAACGGTGTTGGACAACTTGACTTTCTTATGCATTTAGTAGTCACTGTGAATGTGTACACAATTTAAATTCAGTTTCTTTGAGGAAAACCTTGCAATGCCACTTCCACGTGTGAATGATTTCATTATGTGCGTCAGTAAACAGACAATGAAACTATAACAGACAGAAAACAGTCACCTCCTGCACACAGCGCAGAGCAGCTGGACCAGGATGTATAATGCCAGGCGTAACTGCTCAGGGGATCTCTGTTGACAGGTGGGTTAAAACGGTAATGGATCCCAGGATTTTCCTCACGGACCAACACCTGCAACACACCACACAACAGTGGACTGAACTGACTGATCCGGCCATCAAACACTCGGATTTCAAGCATTTAGCATTTTCATGAATTTGGATAGTTTGTAAATTAAATCAAATAAATGTTTTCCAACAGATTTTGCAAAAACTACCCATCTTCTATTGCTAGGACAAGCTGATAGTCTAAACTCACAACACTGCTGCTGTGTCGGTTGATCAAGATGCTAAAAAACAAAACACAAAACAAAACAAAACAAAGAAACACATTGTTTACACTTTTTGGGGCAATTAACCTACAAATAGCTTACTCATTGTTCTCTCAGCATATTAAACTGGGATAGGAGAAAAGTATTTATGAAAAATATTGAAAAAATTACACACTTCAGCTTTGAATAACATTTATACAGAAAATTGCACTTGACCCACATTGCAAATACACTGCAGCTGTTTAAATTCTGAGGCATCTGTACCAACACCAGCAGTGCATAAATATCATGCTTGAACAGACCACCCAGCATCTCTGAGTTACCATGACGATCAGGGTCATGTTGGTGGGTCCAAGTGCTTCCAGGGTCTCCGGTTCATTGGCGGGTCGGCGGTAGTGGAAGGTGGTTCCCGCAATGTCGAAGCGTCTTGGTGTGTCGATGGTCAGCTTGCCGTTGATGAAGTACTGATCCCCTTTGCTCTTCAACACTATGGTATGGAAAGGGTTAATGATTAATGGGCCTCAAAACACAACAGACTCTTCGACATGGACACCGAACACTGTGCTAAACAAGGTTTTACACTTGTAAAAGGAAGTTGGAACTACTTTGGTTCCAAAAGTATAGCATGTGTTGTTAGAATGTTTTTTTTTATTGGCAACAAGCAACCAATCAATAAAGTTACGGAGCCCCTAAGAGCTATGGCAAAATGGGGAAAATATGAGATAGGAGGAAAAGTATTGTGTTTTTCCAGAGAAACTCTGCTTCGCTTGCAAAAGCACTGAAATGTAGTTTTTTCTCCCATCTTAAATTATTTCCATCAACAGTTTTGTGTTCGCTCTTAAAACATCAGCATTCGCTCTCAAAACTTTTGCGTTCACTCTTAAAACATCAGCATTCGCTCTCAAAACTTTTGCGTTCACTCTTAAAACATCAGCATTCGCTCTCAAAACTTTTGCGTTCACTCTTAAAACATCAGCATTCGCTCTCAAAACTTTTGCGTTCACTCTTAAAACATCAGCATTCGCTCTCAAAACTTTTGCGTTCACTCTTAAAACATCAGCATTCACTCTCAAAACGTTTGTGTTCACTCTTAAAACATCAGCATTCGCTCTCAAAACTTTTGCTTTCACTCTCAAAACTTTAGCATTCGCTCTCAAAACTTTTGCTTTCACTCTCTAAACTTCAGCATTCACTCTCAAAACTTTTGCGTTCTGCTGAGAACTTGTGAGCAAACGCAAAACCGGTAATGTAAATAATATGAGATGGCAGAAAAACTATATTTCTATTCTTCTGAAAGCAAATGCAAAATTTTTTGGGGGGGATGCAACACTTCACTTTAAATTACATTAACTGCCAATATTTCCACAAAAGGGAGAGCAGTTATTAAATCAGGTAGTGTATTTATTGTGTATAACCAAATGATCTCATAAATTCACATATTAAATGATGGTTTACAAACGCATATTTTAAAATCTTGAAACCTGACTATCCAGGTTTAATTACTAGCCAGGGTGAAATATGAACAATATAACCTGGATAACCTGGGATATAACCAAGATAACCAATATAACCAAGCTAACCTGGGATAAATGACCATGGGTTAACAATTAAAAAATGTGAAAAGGCAACAAGAGTGTATTAGTTCTGCTTCCCATAAGAGGCTCATATTTGAGTCAAACCATGAAAAATTGTGTCTCACCCAAGTAATTGTGAGAGACATTGAGCTCTTGGATGTGTATGAATACTGATCCTTTGGGGATCCTGACCACCTCCTCATAACCTAAGAGAGAACACACACACACATACATTTATTCACAGCAAGAGTACAATGCTGTTAGTGGTGCTTCACTGAGAGTGACTGTGATGGGATATGCAGAGGTTTGAGATTCCAACCAAATTCCTGGGCAACGTTCCTCAGTTCTGCTGCCCAACACACAATGTGTTTAAGGCCAGATTCCACCACAGGCCTGCAAACAACTCCAGCTTCTGACCAAGTAAAAAAAGAAAAGAGCTAAACTAATTTTTCAACCCAGTCCTGCCACTGACAGAGTTTGTTATGAACAGTCAAGAGGCGACGAGTGTGCCACAAAGAATTAAACCATCAACTAAGGATAGAAATCTGTTGATTCTGGTTCTGATTACTCTTAACAGTTTTGGTTCCTTAAGGATTCCATGAACAATTCTTGTACTATTTATGTGGAAGATATAATTATGTGGAATATATTATATAAAATACATTAAAAATACTAAAAAAAGTAAACATTTCATCCATTCATTCATTCATTCATTCATTCATTCATTCGTTAAACACTAATCATTCTATTTTAAACCATATTCAGAAGTGTTTTTGATTCACTAAACAGAACAAGTTCAAGAGTCCATTTTTTCAGAAATTTAACTAGTCGTGCAGGACACACCATCATATGTATGCATGCATATTCGACTGCTTTACAGAATCAAAAATGCTGGCATTTTTCAATAAATGGATCCGGTTCTGAATAAGAACCCAGATATACTAGAGTACTCAACATATACACACATACACAAAGAGAGAGAAGCAGGCAGACATGAACAATTAGTGGTCATTTGTGTGGATTGGTCAGTCAGTTGTCATTTTGTGGAGCATCTCATTCATTGACCACATTTTTAAATAAACTGTTTCTTTGTGTTTAAATTGTGTTTGTACCCTCAAGAACCCTGAGCTAAAAAATACAGCCAGAGCCAAGAATAGCCCATCATCTCGGCCTCGGCTAGCCATTGCGGTCAATGTTCTCCTGCCGCCCGCCCAGGGAGTGGCCCACTAGAGCTTCCTGCAGCTGAGAATAGCCCTCAGTCCAGCACACAGCCAACAGCCTGCCATTCAACAACACCACCCACATCCGAACCGGCTCTTATGCAAACCGCTGCTAATTCACAAAACGGCATCACAACACTTCCACTCAATCTACACATCAGTGTCATTTACCTGTTTATTATTCCTTTGATGGCAAAGCTGAATTTTCAGCATCATTATTCCAGTCTTCAATGTCACATGATCCTTCAGAAATCATTCTAATATGCTGATTTGGTGCTTATCATTTAGCATTATTTTCAATGTTGAAAACAGTTGTGCTGCTTAATATTTTTGTGGAAACTGTGGCGTTTTTCAGATGACTTCAATCTCTCACTCTCAACCACCCTCATCCTAACTGAAGTGTGTCTGTTTCAGAACAAACCATTGGAAGGAATTCTGCATGGCTGAGATCCTGTATCAGCGTTTATGACTTGGGCCTTGCATGTGAGCAGGTAATTATGAAACGTCTTTTCAGAATGGCAGGAGTCTCTGTGCACCCCTCAACAGTAAGGCAGCTGTCCAACACATATCTGACCTGAAGTACGATGCTCACCACACAAACACTTACACACATTGTTTGAGGTTCTATAAAGTGATTGTATAACTTCTCTGAACACATCTAAAGTCTGAAGAGGGCCATCAACAGGAATTTTGGGCCCTTTTACTGTAAATTACTCTGGGTTCCTTACCTTTTTTTAAGAATAAAAATGTCAACATTGATATGGCCTGGTGGAGAAAGCAAACAATCTGATATGCTGCATTACATTGATATATTTGTGGGGAAAAAATGAAGTGACAGTAAAAACTTTTACATTGTTACAAAAAAAAAAACAATTTCGACCTCCTACTTATCAAAATAATCCAGAAAAAAAATCAGTTTCCACAAAAATATTCAGCAAATATTCAACTGTGATAATAAAAAGAAACATTTCTTGAGCACCAAAGCAGCATATTAGAGTGGTTTATGAAGGATCATGTGACGCTGAAGACTGGAGTAATGACTTTGCCATTTAAAAATTTTATACAACAGCTATTCGAAATTGTATTTTATTTTCCCATTTTTTCTGTGCTTCTATGTATTTCACTCTTAGTTTGTAGATTTAATTTCTGCCAACTCTACTTTGTAAACACCATTTTAAAAGGTGCTATTAAAATAACGTTTACTTGTCTGTTACTGTAAACTCATTTGGTTTTGCACTGTACCATTAAACTGCTTTTGGCCTCCATCTCCATCTTTCCTTTTCTTCTATGGTGAGCTGATTTTCATTTCGTTTTTGACAACTTGACTCAATGACTTCTCGTGCCTGCTCAGCGTCAAAACATACCGCAAAGCGATTAGATAATTTTTTTAGAGAGGGTGGAGGGTTTGAAATATTAAAACAACTTGCAACACATTTGTATTTTTTTACAGTGAAATGCACTGAATTACTTAGTAGAAGAAACCGCTAGAATCGTTTCCACCTTTTCACCCAATTAACTACAGTCTTGTCTCAAAATGCAATTTGATTTTAATGTTTTCCAGTTCATGACTTCAACAGCTAATTGAGAAGCGTGTTTACTGACAACTCTCTGGACACAGGCTGAGAAAGCACTAACTGGAGAACAGGAAAGCAGAATTATCAGGGGCTTTAAAGAGGTTGGTGTGTGCCACTGAAGGAAGGAGCAACAGTCTCTCTTATGTCCTGGACAATCCAGTTCACTTGGACTTCTCGGTTAGATCCAGGCCTCAAAATACTACCCCAGACACCAGAGGAACTTGCCAAGGCTGCTCCCAGTACCTCAAAGCATGTCACACACACACATTTCTGAGGTTTGGGGGGGGAGCTACTCAATTCAGGCACCAGGCTTATGTTTCTTCAGTTAACAAGAGAAATAGCAGTCTCACATGTGCATTTGCAGTCTTCACTTAACTATTAAGAGAAAAAATTATACTATCCATCTTCTCAAGGACACTAAGGGGAAATTCACTTAAAATAAATTTGTGCCTCATGATAGCGTTGTTTATTTGCACATGCTGTCTGCATCGTTTTAACCCCTGTAAATCAAGTAATGGTGTGATCGCTACTGCAAAATTAGTGCTTATCACAATTTGCATTGGCCTCATGCTTAGAAATACACCCAGACTACAGACAATAAAGTGTTAAGTGACAATAAAGTTTAAACAATTTCTGCTGCCATGACCTCTAGAAAATGGACACAACCGTCCCTTTTAAACAGCCCTTTCTACGGGCGGTAATAGTGATACTTTAAAGTCAACATGAATTGCTGTACACAACAATAATGTGACATATTTCTGACTGAAACATCATAATTAATGGAAAATAAAAATATAGGGTGGAACTTGTTTTTATCAATTCCTGATGGAAAAAAGTAATTCCAGAATGGAGTCAGACTGCATAAGTCATGGTGTGACTAAAACAATGGCTGAATAGCTTTTGACTGTTGATTAATGCGATCTTATATTAAGTCAACAAACAAGCAAAAATTATTCAGAGTAAAAGCAAGTTTTTATTTCTGAGGATTTACAGTTGATGTTAAAATTATTATACAAGATTCCCTGATGTTAAACTAAATCATCAATGAGTGAATTGTGCTTTAATCTGTACAATGGCCCAGAAATAAACTACTTTAGCTCTACTTAAAGCTGAGAGGAATAATAATTTAGCACCCAACTCTGTGCCGAACTGAGCTTTAGTTCAGCATTAGGGGATCATATTTTAACACCAACTGTAAATCCACAGCAATAGACACTCTACCTCTGTCAAGAGACTGAATCTATCCCAACGAGGGCTTGCATTTTAACACCTAAAACATCATTTCACGAGACTGTTTGTCTGAAATGGAATTGTCTGTGGAAACTGTTCAACGCCCGGGTCCTCAGTGAGATATTTCAGCAATGTTTCTTTTGCACATATTGTTACAAATTGTTCCAGTTCAAACCGAAGTGCACACACTTAGTACCTCCTTCAGACAAGGAGTCATTGAAGACCCCCTCGATGACCTGGCAGCTGCTCCCATCTCCTCCACAAATGCGGCAGCGATCTTCCCGAACATCCGAGCCTAGGATCCGGTCACAGCCCACATGCTGCAGATACACACACATATTTAGAGAGGTCAACGGTCAAGGCAAAGGTCACAATATTTACCGGCAAAAAGGAATGTACAATTTTCAGATATTACACTAAATATATACATAGATTTGCTTCATTGTCTGTGCAAAAATTATAATTATAATCTTTATAATAATTATAATCACTTATATGCAATATTACATGCAGTTTTATTTAATTTATATTGTGGATTTAGCTGATCTCATATAAAGTAGTTCAGTTTACTTGATTTTCAGCCCCAATATGCATACTGTGATTGTACAATTTTACTGGTCTTCTACAGTACATTTTTATTCTTCTAAAAACACTGTTTTTGCTTTGTTAATATTTTGTCTTGACTTTAATTTACTGTAAGTTATCAATCATATCTTTCTAGCAAAACTTCAAATACAGAACAAAACATACCCTGCTTACAAAGGATGTCTTTTTTGAATGTTGTATATGGAGTAATTAGGCATATCTCTATACAAATGAACATTTGTATGGAGCTATTGTTCATGCTCTGTTTAATAAATTATACTTAATATGAAAATGATCAACTTCACATCATTCACAGTCAAATAATGTATTGCCATGTGCTCTGCAAAAATATTTCATGCTTGAACTGAAAATGGTAGAACAACCATTAGACAGCTGTGTATTCATTCATTCATTAAAAAAAAAAAATATATATATTTTTTCTAATATTTTAGTCAACAGTAGGCTATGTATTCTGCACTGACTCCAGACCCCATGAACATGTCAAGGACAAAGCATATGTTCAGATTTTCACACAATAAGTGATTTTATTGTGCTTTTACATTCTTTTTTAAGCTTGAGTTTCTAATCACTGTGATTGCACGAAAAAAAAAAACAATCAGTACATTCTTCAAAATTCACTCCTATTCACTTTTATTAATTCATATTATTATCCATAATACTTTCAAATGTTCATAATCAGTAAATACAGTGCCGTGAAAAGGTTTTTGCCCCCTTCCTGTTTTTTTTACAAGGGGGCAAAAATGTTTTCACACCACTGTATGTCTATTCTGACTGAACCTGTGTCTTTATACTTTTTCATATTTTATTATTTAATTTAATTATGATGTGTTTTTGTATTTATGTGTGCACTAGAAGCTTTATTACCAAGAAAAACGTGTGTGCAAGCAGTTGGCAATAAAGATCTTTCTGATTCTGATTCCCCTAAGTTTCTTTGTTCTATCCCACAGAGGAAAGTAAGTCAAGGGCTTAAATGGTGTTAACATATTTAACTAATCACATGTATTAACATGTTACTTTTTGACAGCCCTAATATAAATATCAAGGTTTGACGTATAATCTCAAGAGCAATCCCAGAATTCGAGAGATCACAATTAATTTTCACTGACATTGTGCAAAGCAATTGCAAGTTTCTCCAAAGGGGCCAAATCTGCACACAATCCAGACCATTAAAGAAGAAACTGAAGGGTCTCTGCTGTCAGTATGTAAAACGTAACACACAAAATGAACTTAGCAACCAGCAGACCTGAAACTGCTTGAGTCTTTCCAAATCCAGGACTGTGCAACTTCACAAAAATCCCACTAAAGCGCCAAAGACTTTTGTTGACCTGGCCTAGATTCCATAACCTGCAAATGTGTGACCTATTTCCTCACTACAACAATGGTAAGTCAATGGCTGCTTGGAGCGGGTTGGGCATGTCCTCTGCTGGAACAAATAGAGCTTAGCTTTGGGACGCATGGTTATACAGGCTGTTTTTAATGCCTTGTTCTTTAAAGCTCTTGCTTTCATAATCAAACCCTTACTGTATGGAAGCTAAGCCACCATAAGGTTGCAAACACTACTTTGATTTCTCCCCCTGCTGTTCTTCGGTTTTTATATGCACCATAAATAAGAAAGCAGAGTAACGAGTGAGGGAAGGAGACGGAGGAAGAGAGGAAAGAGAGCAGGGAAGGAAAGAAATGGAGAAAGAGTGAGAGCTGATGGCGGGGAGGGAGGGAGAAGTCACTGTGATCATGTTCAGCTGTGTGTACTGAGGACAGATGGATCTGGGGGGTCATCGAGTTCTTGCGGCATTCAGAGCAGAGAAGAACGGGGCTGGACTGAACTGAACTGTTGATAAAAACAACCACTGGTCTAGACAACAGTGCAAAGATAAACCAGCCCAACTCGCTCCAAAGGCACACATGCAGCATGGCCTGTGTAGTACAACAAAGTAAAACAGAAAATAAAGTACACTACAGTTTGCATTATGAAACATGCTAATGAACAACATATTTTAAGCCACTTTCACACTTTGTTTGATTGTTTGCTCCAAACCAGAGTTCAGTTCCAGCTGGTCTCTCTTCGCATTGTACTTTTGGGTTAGAAGAACCCAACATCAAAGCAAGTACCACCATGAGTTCTAGCGGCAGCTGTTTACCATAGTAACTAGCTAATGATTCGGATGAGTACATGCCAACTTTAATGTTTTATTCATGTTTTTGTCACTTTCAATTTTCCACCAAAACATTATACAGAACAGCACTTGCGTTTAGCTCCCGTGGATGTATTACCAAAGGTCATTTATTTTAGGTGCCACAACAAAAAAATTCTTTTTTAATTCATGTATTCATTTATTTATGCTAATTATTTTTAATTGCAAACACAAAAACTTAACATTTAATGAAAAATCTAAATAAATTTGATCATTCTTTTGTATAATAATAATAATAATAATAATAATAACTAGTAGTAGTAGCACTAGTAAAGAAAAAATAATATTTAATGAAAAATATAAATGAATAAACTGAACATTCTTTTGTGGTGGCATCTGTCAAAATAATAATAATAATAATAATAATAATAATAATAATAATGAATTATTATTGTTGTTGTTAATATTTTTTCCCTTTATAATATAAAAATATACAACAATCTGGAAATTATACAGCTATAATGAAATTGTAAAACAATGGCATATGATACAAAAAATTACTGTCTGGTTTGTAGTTTTCAACACATTCTTATTGATGCTTTTAAAATAATTTAAAATAATTTTAAGTCACTTTTGCAAAAGTTTGTTACCCAGCTGGACAACATTACTTTGTTGACAATTGGCAACAATGTGGAAAACATTTAAAGAAATTTTCGCAATGTTTAAGTTACGTCATCCGAAATGTGCTGCATGTGTTTAAGATACAAAAAAAAATAAATGTACAAGAGCAGTGAATATGACATTTTCAGAAGTAACACAATAATTGCCCAAAAAGGCAAGTGACTGTTCTGCCAAAAAAACTTTGTTCGGCCCAAACCTCTCTCACATTGGCCACAGGACAGCAGCCTATGTTTATTGTTGAGCCCTGAAGCTATAGAAAATCACTTTCACACCAACCAAACGATACTGAACTCTGATGTCTAAAAAGCTTTAGCATTAAAGCACCCTTAATAGTTAGTGAAAAATGGGCCGAGGAGCAATGGAGTCTTAAAGGGTTAGTTCACCCCAAAATGAAAATTCTGTCATTAATTCTGTCATGTGAACGCGCGTCCACAAGTGACGCAGTAGAGACGAAAATGTGGAATAAAGTCGTTAATTTTTCTTTGCGCAAAAAAGTATTCTCGTAGCTTTGTAACTTTACAGTTGAACCACTGATGTCACACGGACTACTTTGTCGATCATCTTGGTACTTTTCTGGACCTTGAAAGTGGTAGTTACCTTGCTGTCTATGGGAGGGTCAGAGAGCCCTCAGATTTCATCAAAAATATCTTAAATTGTGTTCCTAAGATGAACGAAGGTCTTACGGGTTTGAAACGACACGAGGGTGAGTAATTAATGACAGAATTTTCATTTTTGGGTGAACTAACACTTTAACAGCTCAGATCTCTAATTAAATCCAGGATGCTCCACATTGCTACAATAATGCATTGAGAGATTGGTGAATCTATGTGTCTAGAGGGACTTTTTCCTCTTCTGTTCTGTCTCTTGCTCTGGCAGAAGTTCAAAGCCACAAACCCAACAACTGGAAAAGCATATTGTATCTGAAACCTCTCAGATACGTATACTTGAAGAAAAGAGTGTGTGACTGTCTCACCTTACACTCGCCATTAACACAAACGTCCAGAGAGTCGTCCCGGCAAGGTGTGCCGTCCACCACAGCTGGAGCGCGCTCAGTGTAGAAGTTATAGCCCTCTGCCAGGCAGTTCAGCGAGCATGACTTCACTCCACCTGCAGCCAAAACGTGCAAAACATCATGCCTCAACAATCATGAGCCATTCAGTCAGAAACATGTTACATACTTAAAAAAAGAGCTAGATACTCAGATACTCAGTAAGACATGGAGTTATATACCATAGAAAAGACAAAGGAAGCTAGTCTAATAGTGACATATCCTCATGAGCATCACAGGACATCATAAAATCTACAAAGGCACTAAGTGTACATGTGGTATATGGGACAGAAATTTAATATGACACATTGTAAGTAATGCTAGCTTCTTGTACAGAACTGACTCCTCATGTGTTATGCATTGTTAAATTTACAACATTACACAACGGCAAAACAAACTTGAAAACAAACTGCTGGCAAATTTGCTCTGTAGTTCAATGCGCCTCCAACAATGGAGACACGTGAACGGCGTATTTCATGCAGCCAAACAGAGCTTTATAACTATACTAACTCTGCGGGACGGCCGCCAGCACTCTGTAGAGTTCCATGGCTGCATGTGGTATTTTAAATAGCTTGTGAGGTTTATGTTAGTTAGTTTATTCTTCCACTGCTGTTACATCCTTGAGTAGCAGAAGAGGGGGTCCGGGGCACATTTCAGATGACTTGCTTATGGGTAAACCAGCTGAAACGCTTTCTACACACACTTGCTTTATTCCCCTGTTTTCTCTGTAACGCCCCTACAAATTTGAGAACACGATGGAGAGAAAAACAGCCTCTCCCAGCATATTCCCTGAGAGACAAAGAAGAAATCATGCAACGTTTAGGAGAAACGTTAAACACTGTCTACATAAAACAACTTCAAATATGACAATGCATGTATTGTCTTTGATTGAAATAGTGTGGATAAATGACATTGAAGCTAACCATAGGGAAGAAAAGTAAAATAAAAAAAGAGATCTCTTTAACATTTCAAATATTTCTCCTAGACAGAAATGAGGTTTCTTTAAAATCGAATTGAGATTTTTGCTTGAGTCTCCTGCTTCTCAAACTTGTCTCCGGAGACAAAAACTCTAACACTCTCACAATGGTCTCCTTTAAAGCTTTAAAAGAGATCTCAACAACATCACACACTGTGCTCAGACATTTCTCCTAGTTTAAAGACTGTGGTGGTCTCATATTTGTCTCCTCCAATGTTTCAAACAAGAACAGCATCACACACTGTGCTCAGATTTTTCTCCTTAGCTACAGACATTGGATCTCTCACATTTGTCTCCTTTAAAGCTTTAGAAGAGATCTAAACAAAATCACACACTGTGCTCAGATATTTCTCCTTAGCTAGAGACTCTGGATCACTCACATTTGTCTCCTTTAAAGCTTTAGAAGAGATCTCAACAAAATCACACACTGTGCTCAGATATTTCTCCTTAGCTAGAAACTCTGGATCTCTCACATTTGTCTCTTTTAAAGCTTTTGAAGAGATTTCAACAAAATCACACACTGCTTAGATATTTCTCCTTAGCTAAAGACTCTGGTGGTCTCACATTTGTCTCCTTTAAAGCTTTAGAAGAGATCTCGACAACATAAAACACTGTGCTCAGATTTTTATCCTTAGCTAGAGACTCTGGATCTCTCACATTTGTATCCTCAAAAGTTTAGATGAGATCTCAACAACATCACACAGTGTGCTCAGATTTTTACACTAAACTAAACCTACACTAAAGACTCGGGAGCTCTCATATTTGTCTCCTCTAAATTTCAGAAGTGATCTCAATAACTTTACAAAGTGTGCACCAAGTCAAATGCCTCAATATGAGCTCAAACATTTATTCCATATAATATGTCTTGATTAGTCTTGATTATTAATTGACTAATTTGATT